CTTCTGTGGAGTCTCAATTTGAACCACATCTATTCTTCCGGCTCGCCCAGAACCTGTTATACCATTTATTTGAGTTTGGTTTTTCATTTTTCAACTTCGAAAAGGTCTCCCTCATAGCGACCTAGATATGTATACTATCAATATATCTGAATTTTCCTCGCAGTTGCTACCTTGTGTTGCCATCTTCTCACGTATAGGAATAAAACTTGATGGGTTCATTATTGCTCAAAAAAGGAGAAAAAGGATGGCCAACGTTTTGCAGAACGATAAGTATACGCCAATCAGATTTTTCGCAGCATGATGGATTCATTTAAACTTGATTCGTTTAAGTCAAGAAATTTAACAACATAGATTGAATATGAAACAAAAGTTGAATTCGATCTCTAAACAATGTGAAAGTCTAAATGGAGCATCTTGATAAATAATTTACCTCCGAGAATGCCTCTCCCTGGCAGAATAGGCTGAATAACGACCGACACGGGGCGTATCCATTTAAAGGAGAAGAAAAACAACTGATCTCTCGGTATTCATATGTCTCAACATTTTAGAACCCTGAACATTAGCAGTAAACATAGTTCAGAACTTGAGATTCTTAGAAGGCTCGTCAACCTCCTCCTACAAAAAGAAACTACCCATAAAAAAAGGAAATCAGCACGGACAATAGAATCAAGCAAACTACCATCCACCAGATATAACACCGTCATCAATAACCATTCATAATATAAGTAGCGTGATTTCAAGTACTTGTTCCAGATTCTTCAAAACAAACAAACAAAACAGATGATCTTTGCTCACATTTTCTCCCAAGAAAGGAAACAAAAGAAAAAGAAGCCTCAAAGCGGCAGCAGGAGGAGAAACCAAGGGACATGAATACATACTCACGGGTAGGAAGGAACGGAGAACGACAATCCTCACCTAAAGAGGCCGAACGCTGCCCAACGATAGCTGTTCATACGAAATCAGAGAAACAAGCGCTTGAATCTCTGGGCAGAGAGCCACGGAAGAAAACAAGGGCAGGGGTGGGAGATGACACTTGAGACAGCGATCGGTAAGTCTGGCGCAAATCACCACACACGGATCAGACGAATCATCGATGCTGTTAACAGGCATCCAGACAATAAAATCTCTGATTGTGAAGACGACCTACCCCATAGAAAAGCATCAAGAAAAAGGAAGTGCGCAATAAATAACTGAACTCGATGGCACCACTGCTAACCATCCCATATCACTTTCGGAGGCCAACAACAGGCGAGAAAGCAGCGGTGGCTATGATATGATGAGGAGACGGGGGCAAAAGCGTAAGGAGCAGGTTGTTTCCTTCACGACGCCATTGATTAGTTTAAAGAAGTAGCTGAAACATGAGCCCTAACCCGTCCTGCTCCGGAAGGAAGGACAGGGAAGAGTGTAAGCTGGTGAGATGGTGATGTCATGTTCCATCATATACATATATAAGCAACAGGGCAGCAGAAATCAACAGGTAGACGTTGGAGATTACCAGAATGCCCCTCTCGATTGGATCAACAGCACATCGAGATTGTAAGTGGTTCGATGAATGTAGAGTATACGACAAATTAATCCGACCCGTTTATGATGGGGTCGGCGCAACGAGTGAGGTCTCCATGTTGACCTAATTTGACCCGTTAGATGGGCGCACCGACACCGTTAATTCCTGGAAATTTTACTTTGACCGGATAGACTAAGGTAATTGGCGACACGAGCGGCTGCAGAAGCATTTAAAACCTGACGCATTACCTCCTTGAAGTTCTCATATAGTGAATGGGACGAAGTCGATTACAAAATACGCGTGTATCGAATACGACGAAGTCAATTAGGTTATAGTAATCGGACAGCCGAAGAATCAATGCCATGGGCCACTAAATATTCCTGCTGCATAAATATATCTGATGAGTGATGGCGCAAAGTTTCACTGAAGCCTTCACCATGGGAGTGAGTAACTCTCTCGTTTCATCGCCTTGGAGAGTTCTCACGGATCTGCCGACACAGACGCAGAATTGCTCATGGGGAGAGCTACTCGCCTCCCGCACGCTTTGGGAGTCGCATCAACTTAAAGAATACGTCGCATGTGATCCAAGTGAACACACAGGCGAAAAGTACGTACCACGAGAAGGCTTTTAGAAGTCTCTACGTGTATGCTTAACGCAAGCCCTCAAGTGCGGATTAGCCGGAGCAAATGAGAGAGAGAGAGAGAGAGAGGTTGCAGCTGGTTGCTGCAACAACAGCATAGCGTAGTGTTGTGTTGTGTTGTATAAGATGAGCTTTTGGAACTGAGTTCGGATGTCTCCGATTCTAAACGAGAATTAGAAGCTCATCCGTCCATCTCTCTCGCCTGACATTATCATCATCCATTAAAGATTATGTAAAGTTCAAAAGACATGGAAACAGACGGAGACTACGCTTTGAAGCTTTTCTAACTTGAGTTTCAGGTAGTTTCGTCGAACTTCTGCATGTCGGCTTAAGACAGCAAGGAACAGCATTGGGACGAGTGACAGCATGGTGAGAGATGCAAAGGGAAAGAAGACGATATGTAGGACAAGAAGGGAGTCGTGAAAAGCCGTGGAAAATATTCCTGAGAAGGCTTCTTTACCAAAAGAAATGCTCGAGAGAAGACTAAGAAGAAAGAAAGTGTTGGCACCGGAAGCATACGGCATTTTACTCGCAGTGTTGTGTCCGCGTCCCCAACACCCACAGCCTTCGTTTCTTGCTTAGGGTTGAGTTCTGAGGCAGAGCCCGGTGGGTGGGATCGTATGATGTGGTTGGGCCCACTCACTCCCATCCGAGGTCTTGGTATCAAGAGGAAATCTAAGAGGAAATCTCTCTCCTCTTGGCTGGCTCATCGCTGGCCTCTAATTAAGAAAAGAGGGGAGTTGGGGGAAAGAGAGGGAAGGACGTCGGGGCCCACATCCACCTTCGTCCATGCCACCTACCGTGGTTCGTCAGAATCATGCACCCACGTCAAAATGGCAATGACCCCATCGGACGCATGAAAGGGTCTTAGAATACCTACAAAGTCCAATTGAAATGTGAATAATGATGTCACATATATCTTAATTAGAGATCGGTGAAAGGAACAGGTAAAGTAAGTTATGCCGGGGGACATCACATGACCCCTCGGCTACTTCCTTTAACGTGGGATTCTTTTTATGTCTTATCGTTCCAAAATAAGTACTACTACTACTACTACTAAAATATCGATGTCTCAAACAACGAAGCGTGGAAGGCTTTGTCGGCTCAACAGCCCGAAGGCAATTGATGCATGATTTGAAGTGTCGCTGCGGTAGATAACACAAAACTCTCATTTAATCGATAAGAGATACAGAACACAGTAACCTCACTCGGACATTCCCTCCGTGGATCAAGATATTATGATGGATATTGTCATGTCTAAACGTCGTAGGTGTAGTAGGTTGACACAGTCTCGACAATGACACTCGACATACCTCTGTCAGTGCTTTGGGTTTCTGGTTGAGCGATTGATTTAAAGCTTAAAAATCACGTATGATCACATAGAAAATACAGATTAGGTGGAACTAACAAGTCTCTGACGCCCTAACTTTGAGATCTTTATCTCAATTATTTGCAAGATTTGGTGGATGCAACCGTCGTCTGGACTTATTAGTAAAATATACGATCTCAAGTTTCCGTAAGCATCATCAAACCAGGTTATGATAGACAAGACATGTTCGGCTGACAACTCATAAGTTTAGCGAAATTTAATCTAACCCATAGCCAACCTCCCTTTAATCTAACCCTAGATCTAATTAGAGGAGAGTGAGGCTGTGAAATTTAGAGGAGAAAAACTATAGTAACAAGGCAGAAAACTGTAGTAGCAACTTAATTAAAAAAGGAAGAGAGAAAAATAAGAGAAGGAAATGGAAGACGACAAGAACAATGTAGAGAGACCATTTTGTAGTGTTCTCTCAGGTTACATCAGATTTACAGTAAATTATTACTGTGATTACTTGAGGAGAATTTGGATATTGTGTACAATTATGTAATTCTTATATCTCAATTATTCTCTTGAGATTGTTGATTGAGTTTTGGGCAAAAGACTCAAAGGGACGCAACTGTAGTAGCAATTTAATTCAAAAAGAAAGAGAAAACGGTAGAAAAACAAGAGACGCCAAGGGAAGAAAACAAGGACAACGTAGAGAGACCGTTTTACAGTGTTCTCATCTCAGGTTAGATCAGATTTATAGTAGATTATTACTATGATTACTTGAGGAGAATTTAGATATTGTGTACAGTTATGTAATCTTTATATCTCAGTTATTCTTTTGAGATTGTTGCTTAAGTTTTAAGCAAAAGACTTTAAGATTTATATCTTCATTATTATTATAGTGGATTATCTCTAGTTTATCTTGTGATTTTTACTCTTCACGTTGGAGAGATTTTTCACATAAAGTTTTATTTGATTATGATTTTTATTTAATTACACTGTATATTATGACCTACTAATATTTATTCGTATATAAAATAATTCTTCTTTATATCTCATCAGACCACACATATTTATTCGTATATAAAATAATTCTTCTTTATATCTCATCAGACCACACTCCCGTGAGGTGTGTATTCCCTCCACCTTCCGATATGTAATCCACGAGTAGATTCGAATAAAGGACTGACTCAGAAGCAAGATGATCAATACTAGAAGTAAAAGAAACGGTGATGATGCATGATCGAACCCGTTCCGGTTGTATATCCATGAGACCGGAGAGTAGATGAACCACCATAATGGAGTCGTGGGTAGGGTGAGCCTACTGCACCGCAATAATTCCGATACAACTCCCCTAGTTGGGTAGCACATCAATTCCATCGGTTCATGTCGAATAGTAGACAGTAGCAAGCGTAGAGGGGGCCATGGCGTGCGTGCACAGTATCTTTGCACGGCCCTCCAACGCCCCAGATTAATGGAGCGAGCGTCCTATACGTCGTATGTGTGTGTGGAACGAAGATTCCATGCAGGAGACTCTCTTCTCTCAACACAAACGATTTCTTCTTTTGTTTACGGATGAATGGAATGGTCTTATCACAGCAAGCCAGTGTCAGAGGACGACGCTCTGACAGCCAAAGGGCTGGTCACTCGAATCTTGTGTGTTCTCCATGAAATGTATCCGAACACATAATCCTTGGACGGGTAGGTGGCTCTGAACGTCACTGTGAAGTTCAACTTCTGGCCATAGCTTGTGAAAGTTAGAATGTTTGGAACCACAGTCACATTGATGCCAGTGGGCGGGGACACCTGAACTCGGTACACAGCGCCGGGTTTCCCCACGTTGGTCACGGTCCGGGTGATGTGCGAGCTGCCCTTGAGGTCTGGAACAGTGATCGAGGGATAGTTCAGGTCGGAAGCTGCCGGTCGAGGTCCACTGCAGACGCTGCCGTCCCCTGTTATGAGCTGCAGCGACTTGTCGTCGTATCCCACGGAGCAGAGGAATGCTCTGTAGTCAGGGGGTTGTGCGTCATAGACGAGACCAGGATCGAGCAACCTTGAGGGATCGGGGAAGCCTGCGCCGTAATCAAAAGGATCTGCTGGCCTTCCTTTGGGGTCTGCTGTAATTGCGCCACCATTCTTATCCGTCACGCTTGCTGCAAATCACTACAAGATGTCAGAACATGGCTTCGTTTCGTCAGTCTAAGATCCGGCAGTTTCTGGTGATAAAATGTAACATATGGGCCTCGAACTTGTTGTGTTGTTTACGCTAAATAGAAGCTGAAACAAGCATGGTAACCTGTGGTCATTATGGCAGATTTGATTGCCGATGGTGTCCATGTTGGGTACACAGCTTTGATCAAGGCCACCAGCCCAGTTGCATGGGGACAAGACATGGAAGTTCCAGAGAGAATGTTGTACTTCATCTCATTGACTGCAGGTGACCAGGCTGCTAAGATGTTCAATCCAGGAGCTGCGATATCAGGCTGCAAAACTCACAATTAGACTTCAAACACAAGAGGCCGAAGAAACCTGTCACCGGTGCTACAGACCTTCAAGATCTCTGCTGTCAATGAATTGGGACCTTTGGAAGAGAATGCTGCGACTCGAGGGGCCAACCTTGATCCTAATACGGCCTTTGCGGGCATAATAATCGCTCTTGGTTTCCTATGAGCACAAGAATGTTGAGATGTGGATGGTACATGATGAACTCAGTTATAAATCCAGACTTAACGATCGCCAAACCTGGTGTGGTTAGCATACGACGAGATCTTAATGCCAGCTTCCTTCCCCACGCTAGCTGCAGGAATCACAAATGGAATGGCCACATCATCCTCTGTTTCGTCGATCATGATCATCCCAACGCCTCCGGCTTTCTTGACAACCAGACTCTTTTCGATCCTGGATTCAGACGCACTACCAGAGTGGCGACAGATGAGGATTTTTCCTCTGGCCTTGGTTTTGTTCAAGGAGCTGTCCAAGCAGAAGCTACGGAGGAGAAATGAGCAGATCAGTGCAAGCTCAGGTTCCACTAAAGAATCAGTCTCAACTTACTCCTCCATTCCTCACCTTGACTGGTAAGGAGTGAAGTATCCTCCATTGACTTCCGAGGCCGAGATGATCCTGGCTGATCTGTTCGTGTTGGAAGAACTCAAGCTTTCGCCCTGTTCATAGCAAAAATTATCTCAAAGTATTTATAGTCTTTTAGGAGAAATACTAGGGAGGGGAGCAGCAGTTGATTTACCACAAACTTCTTCCCATTTCCTAGCAAAATAGATGAGGCGAATTCTCTGTCTGTTGAGCTGGCGGCAACGGTGAGCATCCATGGCGCAAGATTAGTAGCAGAGCCTCGACTTCCAACATTTCCAGCAGAAGAAACCACCACAATTCCATGGCTGGTAGCGTGGAATGAGCCTATGGAGATTGCGTCGTCGAAGTAATCTCCTTGAGGAGCACTGGGGCCTAAGGATACAGAGATTATGTCCACTCCATCTCTGATCGCATCATCGAATGCCGCTAGTAAATCTGCATCGTAGCAACCCGAGTCCCAACAGGTCTTGTAGACTGCAATCCTCGACATCGGAGCGCCTCCGCGAGCTCCTCCGGCGCCCAAGCCATTGTAGTTCATGTCGCTCACGTACCGACCGGCAGCTATGGAGGCTGTGTGGCTGCCGTGGCCCGAGCTGTCCCTCGGTGACTTGAACTTTACGGTCTTGTCTGCCTTCAGTTGGTCTCCATGGCTTCCCTCCTCTGCTTCGTATCCATTTAGATAGTACCTCGCTCCGATTACTTTCCTGTGAGGAGCAAGTAGATGAAGGCAAATACAAAGAAAACCACCGAATTCAATGAATAGCTGATGTTGATACCTGTTGCAGGAAGACTGTGTAAATGATTCTCCGGTTTGGCATCGCCCTTTCCATCTGGAAGGAACTGCCGGCATCCCAGCATCACTGAAACTAAGCGATTCCGGCCATATGCCTGAGAAGAACTCAATCGAATGAGATCAGTAACAGAAGCTTTAGCTTGTAATTCTCAGTCCACTCTGTAAGATCACATCGAGAATCGATCGTTCCTTTTTGCGACATGGTAAGCCCACCTCACCTGTATCAATGAATCCGATGATGACATTCTCTTGGTTCTTGGTGGAAAATCCTGGGATCTCCATCTCCTCGTTGGTTCCGAGGCCAATGAAATCCCAGGAGCGAGTTGTATGCAAGTTTCTCTTCAGGTTTGGGAGCACCGATACCACCCCGGGCATGTCTGGATCGCCAAAAAACCAGCATCAGATCAACCAAAGGAGTAGATTCTAATAACCACAGCAAGAAGGAAGTACCAGCCATTTGTGAAGCCTGCTCTTTACTCAGTCTAGCAGCAAATCCTCTGAATCCATTGCTATAGGTGTAAACATTGGAGGCTTGCGCTTCCTCCATGCTGTTGATCGTCAACCATTCTCTCAGCCACATATCAACTATACGAAACGGACTACGTCACCAGGAACCAGCCTACCTTCCACCATGAACGGCGGTGAGCATTTGGTGACTCTGCTTCAAAATATCATCCGAACTCCGACTCCCTTTGCTGCCCATGTAAACTACATAGACCTGAAAAGGCCAGCCATAAAGAAGAGAAGGGCCATCGGTGCCAAGGTTCACATGCGTGAAGCTTACAAGCATGGTAGAAATTATACCTGAGAAGGATAACACAGTGTTGTCTCTGCAAGTAGGATGGAGAGAAGAAGATAGAAAGCTACACAACACAGAGCCATATGTGGCCAATATGCGAGTGTCACATAGATAGAAAGGTTTAAGAAGGGAAGGAGTTGGTGGTGGTTTTGCTTGTGGAAGACTTATCAATCGCTCATGAAGTCCATTACGGTAGCTCCACCTAGAATCCCGGAGGTGGTTGCTAAGTGGTCTTCTTGAAGGAGCAGAACAATAAGACGCCGAAGAAGAGGGAGGGAGGATGTGGTCATGTCCTGCAAACTCGTATTTATTTGACATAGCGTGCGTGGGTATGTTACAAGGAATGATCAGATGTTGAGAGAGCATAATCACGTCGTCCAAAGTATGATATAATATGGACATGTACTGATGGGAATGGGAGAAAAGATAATGACGTTTGAAATTTAAACTGTAGTTGGCTGCACTATCGAGGCTTTGAGCATTAGCTTTGTTAGGCTTTTAGCATGTGGGAGAGATGGACTGTCCGTGATAAGCACCTTGAGGTGCACACCAAGTTAAAGGTTGCTGATACGCATCAATTCTTCTGTCGACGTAAAGTACAAATTGTTGATTAGTCTTGAAGTGGAAGTCAGGAGAAAGAGAGGTTGTGCACTTGTTATCGGTATATCTTATCGCAAGTCTAGTTTCTGCAGAGGTTTTGATGAATGGCAGGGGAAGTGATGAATAAATTCAGTGAATATTTGTGCCATCATATACAAGAAATGCTAGTGATGCCGCCAGACTGAGTAGATAAATAACCTATCTTAACCTGCATTTTCTTAATATAGAATTCATATTTTAAGGTGCAACATTTTGAATTGATAGATTGAGGAACAAAAACATCTAATTTGATTTATTCTCAATATCCATGAGGTGACAACCTCAGGCTGATCAATCTTATAAAAATATTATGAAATAATATTAGTGATAGCAGATAAGATTTCCTCAATTACACGATAAAATCTCATTGCTCTATTGAGAAAAATCCTCTATCCTAACATGTATATATAAGAAACATGTCAATAAACTTCTCATTAACTTTTGAATCACACTCTAGTTTTTCATGGTATCAGAGCACTTGCCTTAGAGCAAAAACGATTGGAAAGCATAGGTGCTACAAGCGCTACATCATCTTCCTTGCCATAGCAGAATCAAAAGGAACTTTTGGTCTGGCCTGAATCTCCTGCCTCCAGTGACGTTGATTAGATCAACACTTTCCTCCTCGGCAAATGATGATTGTCTTCTTCCACTACCGCTCTGCGCTATTTGTTCACTATAGTCCTAACATGCTCTTCGTCGGTAAAATAGGATCTCATCTACTATGATCGGTCTCCTTGTTGTGGCGCCTCTAGTGCTACATTCACGAGTGCTGCTCTTCATCGATAGATCTCTATTGTGATCTACTACTGCTTCTCCTCCTCTAACGGTTGTGATTCTCTGATCGCAGGCCGCACCTTCAACCCATTGAGAACTGCTTGCTTGAACCCTTTTTCGACAATGATCCCAACCAAAGCCGACTTCTCGGTCTGTGGTCCAGCTCTTCACTCCTCAGATCCTTCACTGCAAAATTTACAGAAAGGAGAGTTACAACTTTGCTCCTTATCCCTCCTACTACACAACTAAATCAACTAGTACAGAAACCAATTCCTTATTGTTTTGTTGCAAACTCCCATATTGAACTCTCAGATTAGTATACATCCTCAAAATATCTTTATCATCAACCTCTAATGTTCCAATTATTGTTCCTATAGGGAATTATAGTACTTCTCCACATATAGGATTTATCTCCATCAATGTTGCAACGTCAATCCCTTTTAAGTTATCAAAAGGCGACAACTACACATTTTGGCAAGCCCAATTTTCTAATCTTCTATTTGGATACGACCTGATAGGTTATATTGACAGCTCTCTCAGTTGTCCACCAGCAATGATCAACATCCCCAGAGGATCTAGTCCAGTACCAAATCCAACTCACAAACTATGATTACGTCAAGATCGTTTTATCCTCCAAACTATTCAAGCCTCAATCGTTGGATTCGTCGCCCCATTGATATCTTCATGTGTGACTACTACAGAAGCATGATATAGGCTACAAACAACCTTGGCAAATCATTCGTGCACTCGCATGCTCAGTCTTCTATATAGTCTAATGAAAACAAAACAAGAGGAAAGTACAATTGCTAATTATCTACAAAATATTAAAGTTATCATTGATGACTTAACTTTGATAAGTCATTCCCTTAGTGATGAAGAAGTCATAATCCATACCCTTAATGACCTAAGAGATAAGTATAAGGAACTAGCAGCCGCAATTTAGGCATGTGACTCACCAATATCATTCGAAGAACTCTATGACAAGTTGACTGACTATGAGACATATTTGAAGTACGAGGACAGGTTGCCTGGACTAACCATCACAGCTCAAGTTAATCAAAAATCCAAGAGGAAGATCAACTATTATAATAAGAATATCAGTAAAGGTTTAGCTAAGATGTTTCTTGAACCTATATGTCCCAAACAAACCCTCCTTCATCTACATCATCAACATTTCTATCAATGTGGCAACTTCAATAACCATCAGCCCTGGTGTCCTGACCTCACAAGCCAACAAAAAATTGTTTGCCAACTGTGTGATAAAGTTGGATACTCTGCAAAAGTTTGTCGATCTCGACCCAGACTCCTTGCTCCATTATGGTGGTCTTAGGCAAATCTCATAACTACTTCGGCTACTAGTCAACCTAATTGGATTATGGACTCTGGAGCCTCTCATCACATCACCTATGATCTTCAGAACTTGTCTATCTATAACAACTATGATGAAAATAAAAATATCATCATCGATGACAGGAAAGGAATTCCTATTACTCATACTGGTTCCATAACGCTTAATTTACATACCGTAACTTTTACACTCGATAATGTTCTGTATGCACCTCACATTAAATAAAACCTCATTTCTATTTCTTAATTCTATAAATAAAATGATACTTCAATTAAATTCTTTCCTGACTCTTTTATTATCAAGGATTTGAGCACGGGGGCATCCTTGGTCCAAGGCCAGAATAGAGACAACATTTACGAATGGTCATCAACTCTACAAACAACCCAATCTACTATTCACTCTTCAATTGTAGCTCCAATTGATGTGTGACAATGTCGTTTTGGTCATCCATTGTCTCTTATCAAGTAAAAATTACTTTCTCATTATTCTCTACCCATTTTTAAATCAAGTAACTTTATAACTCATTGTGATGCTTGTCTTAGCAATAAAAGTCATAGACTACCCTTTGACATATCCTTCATATCCTACTCTAAACCGTTTGAGATTATTTATATTGATATTTAGGACCTTGCCCTCAACCATTTCTTTTGACAAGTTCAGATTTTATGTCATTTTTATATATTATTTCACTAAGTATATATGGTTATATCCTCTTCACCATAAATCTGAAGTTTTTAAAATCTTTACCAACTTTAGAAAGTTCGGTAAGAACTACTTTCAGTCTACAATCAAAATAGTTTATCTGATGGTGGAGGTGAATATCAAGCTTTGACATATTATCTTAGCTTGTTGTATACAATACCTTAAGTCACTCATACTCAACTAGTTGGCTCTATCGAACGCAACACATCTGCATATAGTTAAAATTGGTCTCATACTTCTATATTAGGCCTTCATGCCTCCAACATTTTGGTCAGTAACCTTTCAAACTGCAGTCTACCTTCATCCCTATGTCTCTCATAAGATAACATTAAGATCTAAGCCTTGTGTCTTTATAGAATATTCTTAAATATAATGCTTTCCGATGTTACGATCCCCAAACCCAAAAAATCTTTATATCACATCACGTTATTTTTATAGAGTCTATCTTTCCTTTTCAAAACCATGAGTCTCCTATCATGTAAGCCACTCTAACAAACATTCATCACTGGAGTATACCTCCGATCCTATCGGACAAGCCTCTCATAACACCGTCCAGTCCTTCCCCTCAAGATCCACACTCTATTTCTACTCTAGTTCAGTAGCTGCTCATTCCCTCCATTACTTCTCCACTCCCTTCTCAAGTTTCCCCCATTGATGAGATAATACATTTAGAAACATAACCATTGTCTTTACCTCCTTCTAGGCCTAGTGACACTAAAGTACCTCAGCTTGATCCGGCCTATGTTAGTGGCTCTCCATCGCCTATACCAACAACACAACCTTATAATCCCATAGTCTCCAAACATCCAATGACAACACGCTCCAAGAGTGATATTTTTAACCTACGTCAGGTCCTTGACCTACATGATATCACAGAATCCTACTTGAGACTATTGAACCCACCACATTCACTCAAGCCTAAAAATCTCTACACTAGTGTAAAGCCATATGTAAAAAATATGATGCCCTCCTCCATAACTCAACATGGACCCTTGTACCCTTTCATCACACACAAAATATCATCGAGTATAAATAGAACTTTCGAATTAAGCGAAACCCAAATAGATCCGTTACTAGATATAAAGCACGTCTAGTCACCAAAGGGTTTCATCAATGACATGATATTGACTTCACTAATACATTCAATCTCGTTGTTAAAGCCATAACAATCCAACTTATTTGAGTTTGGCCATCACTAACAATTCGAAATTACGACAATTGGATGTTAACAATACCTTTTTACAATATAATTTAACTGAAAACATCTTTATATAGCAACATCATGGTTTCATCCATTATTAGTATCCAAGGCATGTTTGTAAATTGCAAAAAGCTATTTATGGATTTCGTCAAGCTTGAAGAGCTTGATACATTGAACTTGGCTCGTTTTTAACTTTAATTAGTTTTATCAACTCAAGTCTAATACCTCGTTATTTATACAATAACAAAATGGAGGTACAATATATATTTTTATTTTGATGTATGTGAATGACATTATTGTCATGAGTAATAATCCTATAGAGATCTAGGCATTCATCAAGCAATTGGTAGATCGATTCTCTTTTAAAGATCGAGGTATCTTGAGCTACTTTATGAGAATAAAAGCAACATATACATCTTCAAGTCTCTTTCTATCACAAAGAAGGTACATTCAAGATTTATTATAAAAGACAAATATGCAGAACGCAACAGAGGTTACAACTCCTATCTCTACTAGTGAATCACTCAAATTATATGATGGAAGTCCTACTATGAAACTTACTTAATACCGATAAGTAGTTGGTTTCTTATAGTATTTAGCTCT